TCCACAGTAGTGACTTCGCAGAAGCCAGACACTTAGCGGATGCGGACCTTTTCTCAACCCACCTATCTCATTTATAGAACTTCACGCAAATTCCTTGGAAATACGCATTTGTACAGTACCATTTCAAAACAACCTTCTTATCCAGTTAACTTGGAAGATTTTTTCTTGGGTCGTATACAGACACGACCTGGATTTAGGTCGGATAGTTTATTTAAGCCTAAATTCAAACCATGCGGCCACAGTGTTAGGAGTAACGATTCCCTTGTCGTAGACTACCTGCAACACCCGTTGTGATCCGTTAGCCACATTTAATAAGGCAGTTTTGAATGATATGCTGAGTTAGCGTTATTTTTCGATTTACCTTCCACCCAGCAGTCAGTGTCGACATTGGAATGATTGCCAAGCTCAAAGGAGGGGTCTGATAGCTCTTTCGACTGTTGGGTTGGCTTATTTTATAGACATAACACACGATAATGCTGGAATTATCGCAGAATGTATGCCCAACCAGAATCCAGATCATGTCTGTATACGACCCAAAAAATAGTTAACCAGTTGACTTTCCTACTAGGCAATCTCATTAACTTTGGTGATCGTAATCGACTCCATTCATTGACTCGGGATGTCGGTGGTTGCAGTGTTTAGTTCTCTTTTGAACCAGAGCGGTCAAAGCTGAGGTACCGGCGTCCAGCTAACACGATGGGGACCGAGGCCAATATCTGTCCAATCACAAGTGAGGGTCTGTGGCAGTTCGTTAATGATGTGTACACTCCCAGTACTGCGTTTGACCCAGATGCGGTCGTTGGAGCGGCTTTCGGTGACGCACTACGTCAGCTACCAGCTGTAACAGCTGACTTTGGGCTTTTGATGGAGACACCGCCTGCAGAAGATATCGAGAAGCAGCTAATCCGTGTAAACCTAGGCTCCAGACCGGCCAGGTTGGAGAAGGTTACAATAGTTACTAGCCAGCACGGAGAGCTACAAACTGCGCTACGTAGACCGATTCCAGTAGAACGCGGGTCGGCATCCCAAACTCCAACCGCACTGCTTAAAACAACCCTATCCCAACGATGAATGGCGGCATAATATGCGCCTCCTTTTTTTCAATTCGC